GAGTCCAGGTGGCTACCACCAGCTGAGAATCAGGGGTGTGCCTTAGGGTCAGGGGGTTCTGTACCCAGGCCCACTCCCAAGAAGCCTACTCTACATCAGACCTCAACCTCAGGGTTGGAGGGACACCCACCCACCCCCCAGCTCCCACAGGACCCAGTCCAGCTGAACCCTGCCTAAGGCCAGCACCACCCAGACCTGAGGGTGTGCCCTGCTCTCTCAGCCCAGCCTGGCAGCAGGGCAGGATGAGGGCAGCCAGGCTCACCACCGGGCTGGGGACTCGGATCAGAAGCACTTCCATGGCCATATCACTGCACCATTATACACCGGGGCGCTTTATTGAGCTTGCTGAGATGGAGATACGTGCGCAAACGGGCTGTGGACAGGAGCTGCAGCAGGCAGGCCAGGGGTCAGGTCGTCAAGCAAGGCAGGGCTAAGGGCTCAGGACACAGCATCACGCAGCAACTAGTAGCCATTACGTCTCATCATCTGTGACAGGGCGTGTATGCTGATCACTGTGCCTGTGGCGAGAAGAACGATGAGCCCGATGGTCAGCAAGAGACCGATGACCAGGGCACAGATGTTCAGGCACTTGGCGGTGGACGCGTAGCTCTGGGCCCCAATCATGTCGCCCACCATCTTCCGGTCCCTGGACTGGGGGAGACAAGATGTGGAGGTTACCTGGGAGGGGCCTGCTGGGAGCCTGGAGCTGATGGGGGGGACCCAGGTTCCCCACCCCCCAGGTCCTCTGCCCTCAGTGCAGCCTCCCCCAGGCTTTCCCCTCCATGGGGACCCCCACTGAGCCCTGGCGCCCCAGCAGGACAGTTCTACCCCTCTTTCTGCTGGGGTGGGGCCTTCTCCTAGCCCCTCAGCGCCAGCCTGGAGCTATGGGCTTGTCTCCCTCTGCTGAGGTCCTAGTGCTGCCCTGCCACCGCCCCCCACCCCCAGGTCCCCGAGTGAGAGCACTGGGTGTTAAACCAGGTGAGCACCTGCCCCAATGTCTCTCTCAGGTTGGGAGGGAGGGAAAATGCCTTGGGGAAGAGACTAAGCTTGGCCAACCTCAGGCCGGCAGGTGACCACAGACAGGAGCTGAGGGGCCCTTCCCAAGACCCACGCAGACAGGAGCCAGACAGGCAGCACAGTAGTCTGCAGAATGCCCACACACACGGATGCACACACACACAGTCACACACAGGGCATCTACACACGGGACACACGCAGGGCGCACACAGTCTGTTGCTTGCCCCTGCCACCTGCGCCCAGGGCACTGTGAGGACACGCTGGGTCCCCAGTGGAGAAGCCAAGCCCGTGTCTGCGCACGCACCTTCACGGAGTAGGCATAGGCCACGAAGCCCAGGCAGCACCAGTTGAGGAAGAGCGTGTTGAAGAGGGACCAGACGACGTGGTCAGGCACGGAGGTGTCGCTGCTGCGGATGTTGATCACGGTGGACTGCATGGGGGCGGCATTGTAGGGGGGCCCCAGCACAGCCACCTCGTGCTCCTCCTTGACCATCTTCTGGGTTAGGGAGCTGGCTCCTGTGTGTGTGGAGAAGCCTTGGGACCCCGAAGCCAGTGGTTAAGGAGGCCCAGATGCTGCACTATAGCTCCCAGCGCCCTTCCTTTCCAGACTCGTTAGTAGCTTTCCAAAGTTTCTGTTTTGTACATTGGCAAGTTGACCAGGAACTGAACAAATTCCTGAGGCTAAAATTACTCCCAGGGAGGGTGAGAGGAGGGGCTGAGGGCTGGGGGCAGGCCTGGATCCTGGGTTAGGAAGTTGCCCAACTGTCTCCAGATGCCTGTTTAACTGTGAGTGGACCCTGGGAACATGTTGTTGGACTGGAGGTCACCCTAGTTCACGTCTCATCTTCTGCAGCCCTCTGCAAATGGATGCCAGAGGCAGCTGGACCCTGAAAGACACTGAGCCCCTAGAGAGAGGTCAGCCCTAGGCCAGGGACCCCATCTCCCCCTGGGGTCCACGTCTCTCTAGGGCCCACCTCCCCAGGGCACCTGGAGGGGGTGGGCCTGCCAGAGCCCCTGTCCAGGGACTGAGAGCACTGCAGAAGCTGGGGGACAAAGGGAAGTGGATTAGGCTGACCTCCCAAGCCTGCAGTCACCTGGCTCAGGTCTCTTCTGCTTAAACCCATTGCCCTTCCCTGGGGCCAGAGGCCATGCTTCAGGTGGGCTCTCGGGTGTCCTAACTTAATGTGTCTCCCGGCTCCAAGTCAGACTCATATGACCAAGGCTGGCTTCCCCGCAAGGGCCTCCAGCCCGCTCACGTTCCCAGGAGGAGCTGTGGGGAGGGGGAGGGCAGACCAGGGGGAGCACAGGTGTGTGGTGGTGTGTCCTGTGAACCTGAGGAAGGTGTATCAGCCAGGAGCCAGGTCAGCCGCACCTAGCCACCAACAGGGTCAGGTTGTTCCCCTGCTGTCTGAGCCCTTAGCTACATAGAAGAGTGAGGGCAGGGGGTACTGTGGGGACCTATGAAGCTCCACCTAGAGGCACAGGTGAGTCACGGCTCTCAGACCAGCCTCAAGGTGCCCCTGTACCCATACAGGTCTGGGACTCTGACCTAGAGCCTCCCCCAACTTCCAGGGTCTCTCCACTTTTGTCTCCTCCTGGGTCCCCTCTCAGGGGTGCCAGCTGCTCTCTGCAGTTACAGTCCCCATGGAACCTCAGCTTCCCCCTCTGTGTTATTGGTCTCAGCTGTGCAGCCAATGCCTAGTATTAAATTCTCCTGGTTGAAGCGCCTTTTGTGGCCTCGGGGCTCCTTCTGAACCACTCTGAGTCAGAAGGTTCCTGGCGAAGGGGCCTCTGGGAGCTTGGGATCCTGACTGGGGTTGGTGTGAGCAGAGCAGGGTGCTGAGCAAGAGAACTTGCTGCTCACCCACCCGTCATGGGTGCGATCAGAGAGAGCCAGGGACAGACCCTGCAGGGAGAACGAAGTCTTGGTGCTCTGCAGTTGTTGATTCCCTGTTTTTCTGCTCCTACTCATTGGCCTCACAGCCAATCCAAGGGGACACTGGGAGAGCCTGGAAGCTGCACCTCCAGAGTGGGCAGCCCATCCGAGTCTCCTCCTGGGCTTGGGCTTGCCCTTGCTACCCGCTTGTCGCCCACTGGAGCCTCAGGAGGAGCATTCCTGGGCAACCCCAGCGCAGTGTGTGTCTGTTTCTCTGTGTTACCAGGGCTTGTGGGTGAGGCAACATTATTGCACAATAGCTAGTTTAAGAGATACAGGATGAAGGTGTAACAGCAGGGCAAACATCTTAGAAGAACGGGAGGAATCTGCTATTTATAGCAGTAGCTACATTAAATGCGAACAAGACTACAGTTTCAAGGCGCAGACGCAGAAAAGGAACTGAATCAGAAATGGGCAAAGCAGCGATCAGAGTGCAGGAATTTAACACAAATCTTTTAGAAGCTGATAAAACCAACCTCATAGAATAAAGACATTTTTAGAATTGGTAAGAAGCAGGATATTTGAACAAAACAATGATGTGATTGACCTGCTTGATTTTATCTGTGGCAGTTTCATAATGCCCTGTCAACTAGAGGAAGGGGTGGAGTCTGGCCTGTCAATCAGGTCCAATGAGGCCTCTGTGTGGGCATGGACTTCTCCTGAGGATTCTGGGAACTCCTGTCTTCCTCCCTGGAGGCGCGACACACACTCTCTCTGCTTCACATTCCTGTGGACAAGCCACGTGGAGCCACGCTGATGGAGCCAGAGCCCTGGAGCTAGAGGAGCCACGTGGAGACCCACGCCAGCACTGAGAGGCATCCACCACTGGATCCACGAGACTTTCCACCCACTGGCCTGTGATCTTCCAGCACTGGTGTCATTGCATGTGTTGTATGAGTCTAAAGAGGAATTTATAGACTGGTATTGGGATGGTATGGGCTAATATCAGACTTATGGACTTGATCTAGACTGGGATGGGATATTTTCTCAATATATAATTACTCTTTTAGATAAAACTCTTTCTTATACACATATGGTGTCTATGAATTTGTTTCTCTAAGCAATCCAGACTAATACATTAGCCAACGGTGAATTTTGTGGCAAATATACCAAATTTTGTTGGGTGTGCTAATAATATAAATTTATGATATATTTTCGATGCTTATAGAATGCTTATAAGGGCATATTTGCTAGTTGGTAAATCTAAATTTTAAATTATCTGAATCAATCATGGGATGTTCTATGATAGGAGTGGTACTTCTATAGAAATCTATGATGAAAGATAACCATATATAACAATATATATACATACATTTTTAAATCATTTTATTGGGGGCTCATACAACGCTTATCACGATCCATACATCCATCCACTGTGTCAAGCACATTTGTACACTTGTTGCCATCATCATTCTCAAAACATTTTTTTGTATCAGCTCCTCATTTTTTCCCCTCCTTCCTCACAGCCCCCTCATTCATGAATCCTTGATAATGTATAAGTTATTATTATTTTGTCATGTCTTACACTGTCCGACGTCTCCCTTCGCCCACTTTTCTGTTGTCTGTCCCCCAAGGAAGGGGTTATATTTAGATCCTTATAATCGGTTCCCATAACAATATATTTCTACACATCCAGCTGTTGATTGAAAAATCAAGAAAAACATTATGAAATTTAGAGCTCCATGCAAACTGAATATAAGCAAGATGTGCATAAGTGAAATTAAAATGCAAAGAAGAAAGTGATTAGGTAAAAATTAATCAATGATGAGATTTGAAGTTTCAGAGATACTCACACTTGAATGGGAAAGACAATTCAATTCAATTCTAACTTGTATCGAAAAGGAACAGGATCCCGTTGGAACAGCCCAAGAGATGCCCTGGATTAAAACACTGTCAGAGACGGATAATACCCATATGCCCACAAGGAAGACCAGTCAATACAACCATTATTCAAATTCACACAGCAGCCGGAAACACCAGAGATGAAAAATTCAGTTGTTGTTGTTTTTTTATAAACCAACTTCAGTGTCGGGGACCAGCCTCCCCACAACCGAATGGGTCCAAGGGGCAGTTTTGTAATCGAGGGGTAAATTAAAGAGAAATCAGACAAGAATGAGCATGCAAGAGATCATCTTCCATGATGACTGGAACCAGAATGAGACTGTCTTGGGCAAGCAAGCCACAGTAAAGGCATAGGTAGCAGGAAGGGGTTGTACAAGAGGCATACATGCGATAGTAGGGGGTCACACTAGAGGTGTACATGCAATAGGAAGGCACCTACATATCAAGATGGGCAGGTTCCAGAGTCAGGATGGCAGCCTAACCTTGATTGTTTCTGAGCTGGCTTGACCTGAAATGTCTTTGAGCTCTTCTCCAGGGGAACAACCCATTATCCTTATCAGGAGTGCTTGGGGGGGGGCAGACAATAGGGTCTGATTGTCTTGCATGGCAGCCAACCTTTAGGCAGATAGCCTTCAAGCAGTTGACCTTCAAGAGTGACCATGTGTTTGTAAACAGCACCTTAAGTTTGGTGTTATTATGGGGCAACAATGAGGGGAATAACTTTTATTTTAGGAGAACGTGAGTGGGATTTATCTCCAACCCATAGACAAGGTTCGCTCAGAGGGAGCCCTGGCTTCCCAGACTCCTTAATGCAGGAATATTGAGAGTTTGCCTGTACACACTATCTTCCCAGTTCTGTTTCACACACTTCAGCAGTTTGAAATTGATCAAACATCGGATCAAAATGTAATAAAAAAGGAATGCACACAACATCAAGCAATATCATTTACACAAAATTAATCATACTGATGATAATATAAAGACAGTTTGCTGCAGTGCAGTACATTTGAGGCAAACTGACCAAAATGGTGCCATTTTGGTGACTGCTGAATGACCTGCCTCCTTCCCCTCCCATCTTGGAAAGTCCCACTAGTGACTGATTTTAGAATGTATTCTGGTGTTCCCAGGATCAGTGCGTTGTAATGAATAACAGTGCTCCTTTGGATAGGGTAAGAGGATCTTACTATTCTTATTTTATTAACCAGGATGTTTTGTTTAGTTTTTTTAATCGTTTTATTAGGGGGTCATATGACTCTTATCACAATCCATCCATACATCAATTGTGTAAAGCACATTTGTACATTCATTGCCATTCTCAAAACAGTTCCTCTCCACTTAAGCCCCCGGCATCAGGTCCTCATTTTTCCCCTCCCTCCCCTCTTCCCCCTCCCTCATGAGCCCTTGATAATTTATAAATTATTATTTGTCATATCTTGCCCTGTCTGATGTCTCCCTTCACCCACCTTTCTGTTGTCTGTCCCCCAGGGAGGAGGTCACATATAGTTCCTTGTATTCAGTTCCCTCTTTCCAACCCACTCTCCCTCTATCCTCCCAGTATCGCCACTCACTCCACTGGTCCTGAAGGGATCATCCGCCCTG